GCATCCACAACTTCCCTGGGCAACCTGTTCCAGTGTCTCACCACCCTCAGAGTAAAAAATTTCTTCCTGAGATCTAATCTGAATCTTTTTTCTTCCAATTTAAAACCGCTTCCCCTTGTCCTATCATTACCCTTCCTGGCAAAGAGTCCCTCCCCAGCTCTTCTATAGGCACCCTTCCGGTATTGATAGGCTGCTATAAGGTCTTCATCAGGGAAAGTCTTCTACAGACTTGCCCTCAAACTCTAAGCACTGTCAGAGAGATGGCTGAAGAGTTGTTATGAAGTACATCAGAAAGAAGTTGGAAGGGGTGACAATAAGGACAAAACTGAGGTGGTTGGACTCTTCTGGTTACTTCTGGCTGAAATCATGGCAGGCAGAGGAGATCTGGACAACGGTGGCCTTTTCCTTGGTCACAAGATGGACTGTGGGAAAAATTGGACCAAATCCAGTCTGTTCCAACTTATGTGATAGTTCAAAAGCATCTCTGAGTTTTTAAAATGTAGGAGTGGGAAGGCACTTTGGAGATGTTCCACCTGTAAAAACGAGGCTGGTTTGGTCTGGGCTCTGCACAGAAGTCCACAGGCAGGCAGAAAAGCTCCTGCTGGTACGATGGAGAATGAGTGGAAATTCACTGCTCTCCTGCTGCAGGGGGAAGGTGATGTAGATGATTAGAGATGGGTGATTTGAGGAGAAGGTTTGTGAAGTCGAGGTCAAGTGTCTATAATGAAAAGAACACACTTTGCACAAGAGGGGAAGGTAAAGATATTCTTGGTTGCACAATCTAGCCGGAGAACTATATTCTCTGATTTTTATTCTACTTGCATGAAAAGCATCTCTCCATCACTTCCTCATCTCTAAATTGTTTGGTAGACATGATTCATTAGAAATCTGTTCTGTTGAATAGCAAAGTAATGAATCTTTGTGCTTTCCATTTCCTCCATCTGAACTGGAAAGTGTTTTTCTCACACAATCTCAGTCTTGAGCAGTAATAACAAAACCACAATGTCTGTTGCAGTTCTTTATTTGCAGGTTGGATTCCTCTGTGGACACATCTAAACACAAGCAGACGTGACCTGCTGGCTAGAAGACAGCAGACAAAGAAAATGATGGTTATGACTGTGAACAAACAGCATTCAGGTATTTCTGTTTTAATGGAGCAAGGCCCAGGACTCATTGTGAGGAAAAACTGCTCATGGCTTTGAGGTTTCTCACTTACGTGCGAAGCTGAGAACAACTTCTATATGCTGAACAGTTTTTGTATGCAATTTTTGGCTTAACGCCATACAATCTCTATTTCTAATTGATCAGGTGGTACTGAAATGGGTAAAGCTTTAATTACGGTTTGATTTATGTGCATGCAATTCCAGAGCAAGCAGAATTTTGCAGAATTTATATTAGGAAGAGATCCTGGGCCAGTTCATGTGACCAACCTGCCTGTTCCTCTGGCTCTGAAGGCCCATCTCCTGCAGCTGAAGCTGTTGCACAGGTTGGGAAAGAATTTATTTAACTCAGTACCTGAAACATCTGGCTACTCCTGGTCCTCTGTCCCAATCCATCATCTGTCTTCAACTATTCCAAAGAGTTCCTCAAAATTTCAGCATCTTCTAATTAATTTTCCAATTCTTTCATCTTCTAGTATTGCCTTTATGTGATTCCTCTGTAAACACAACAACAATGTGAGATGATGGTGTAAAGGACAACAGGGTGCTGTGCAATGAGGAAATGTTGGCTTAGATGCTACTTCCCAAGTTACTCAGTCAGTGGTAGATTCACCTCAGTCCAGGGAAATAAAGACAAAAAGAACGAATGTAGATGCTTTCTCACTTTCCTCTTTCTGTAATGGATGTGGGACAGAGGGAGGTATTATTTGACATCCCTGCACTTTTAAGGTATTTTCATTACAGAAGTAAAAGTGTCACAAATAGGAACCTCACCCTGCCTTAAAATGCTGGGTCCAATGTGGAAGGCACTGTTTCTGAAGGGAAAGGGTTTATTTTTTCCCTCAGTCTTGAATCAACCTCAGCTTTCCCTGCTGTGACTGCTGGAGGAGGAGGGCTTTCTGAAGGGAAAGGGTTTATTTTTCCCTCAGTCTTGAATCAATCTCAGTTTTCCCTGCTGTGACTGCTGGAGGAGGAGGGGAGGGCTGGCAGGTTCACATGTAAGGATTGTTTCCTTCAGGTCACTGAACAACCATCAGCCAGCACTGGGGTTTGGCTGCCACGAGCCCAAACTGAATTTGAAACGGAGGCCCCGTATGAAATCCCTGCAGCCCAGGGTGTCTGGGGGAGGCACCCCTGCCCTGCTGCTTGTAGCAAACCCTCCATCTGCTTCTCCTGCTGGAAAGGGGTGTGAGGAGAGGTCTGAGCCCTGTCAGAGGAGAGACCATCTCACTTTCCGTTTTCCCAGACCTGTGCTGGGCACAAACTTAAAAGTATCCCTAGCACAAATTGACTGAGACATCCTCTTTCTGACACGCTCCCGGGTGAGATGAAGGGAGCCCTTTGCTCCTTCCCCTACCCCCTTTCTCAGTGACATAGATACAGGCCATGCAGCTCTTCCTCTGTTTTGGCGAAGGGAGGGGCAGTTTCCTGTTTTTCTACAGAAATTAGAGTGATCCAGGATGCCTTTGTGCTGCTGCTGGTCCTGATGCGCAAACGGGCTAATGGTGTACGTGGGCTCTGTGGCTTTTTTTTACTGCAGCTTTTCTGCTACCACCAAACCTTCGACCCTCCCTGCACCATGGCTCAAGCCACGGGGTTGGGATGTATGGAGGGACACCCCTCTGACTGGCATGGGAGGCTCTCAAATATCCCTAACAAGCTTTTCGTGCAAAAACAGGGTCTGCTTTTCCAGTAGCCCATTCCAGGGTGCTCACAGATTCCCAGCAACTCCATCCTGCTCCAGCCAGGGGAACTGCCCCAGCCAAGGCCAGGGCTGTATCTGGCATTAACATCCCAGGAATCTGCTCCAGGCTGGCAGGAATAAAGTGGAGAGACATGTTTAGAGCTGCTGGGGGCAGGGGGCAGGTGGGGAACAGACACAGCCCAGCGGAATAGTCTCACGGTCTAGCTGTTGCTGTCAAGGATTTGGTCTTGAATAAGGAGAAATGGAAAGCAAACAGCAAATTGGCTTTGCTCAGTGCTTTGGCCGCAGTTAATAAGGAGGGAACTGGGCAAAGGTAATGTATAATTAAGTTGGCTGATAGCAGAGTTCTGTCCAGAGCTGGAATGTGTTGTATGCTGTCATGCTATAATTAGCAACATTTTGTTATAGTGCTTTTTCTCTGCTTGAAGGATCTCAAAAAGCTTCCCAAAATCCACATGGCTGAAGTTGCCAGCTCCCCTCGAGGAGAGAGGCGCCACGTCTGCGATGCCCCAATCCTGCAGGGTGGGACAGCAAGGGGCTGGCAGGGGGAGGGAGGAGGAGGAGGCTTTTCCTCCAAAGACACCCAGCTGGGAGACACGGGGTCCCTCTGCCCGGGGTGACCAGTGAAATGGGTGATTTTGCCTGTGAGAAAGCTGGAACAGGGAGAGGTGAAGTGGTTTTCTAAGGTCACCAAGTGAGTCATGGGTAAAGCCAGGAATAGAAGCCAGCAGTCAGGCTCCCAGCTGCTGTACCTATGGTTATTTCTATTTATGCTCTTCACTTCTCTTGCCCATGGTTTACTGAGTGCATTCCAAGAGTAACTTGCCTGCCAAACTTCCTCCCCTTTAAAACCAGAAATGGACAGATAAGATAGTAGAAGAAATCAGTTTAACTGCTGGTATGTGCACAAACATACCTGAACCCTGTCCAAGTTATCAGCCGACTTTTTTTTTTTTTTTTTTTTTTAATGCTCTTTTGGGGCAGGAGAAACTCCTCCAGTCTCAAAGCGCCTCTGGCAGTTTGCTGGCAGGATATCAGATGATTTATTTCCTTCGCCTGTGGTCAAAAGAAGAAAAAATTAGAAAAGCAAAAAATAAAGACACGTTAGACATAGCAAAACCCGGTCAAGTGACTCCAATATAAATCCCACGAAGGCAATGGGAGAATTGGGGCCCTGGGAATTAGAAGTTTAGACTGCAAACCAAAATAAAACTGAAACCCCAAATAAAAGCTGCATTCTCCCCCAGTAAATTTTCTCAGAATGCCTTAGCTACCTCTCAGTGAAAGCCTTGAAAGTTTCTTCCATCAACTTCAGCTGTAAATCAGATTGGGCCTAAGGCCAGAGTACCTGGAAAGCCCTAAACCAGAGGGTAGGGGTTTGGCTCCTCATTATTCTTGGGTTGAGCAGAATTTAACTGCTGTGTTAACTGGTGTTCAAAGGCAGGCGTTAAAAGGTTAATGCAGGTAGCAAGACTGACTGGAATCAGTGTTACATCAAACGGAAGCATAGTAGTGACACGAGCAACCAAAAATGCTATGCTGTATCTGCCTTTGTACCTCTCCATCCCACCCCATCACTTCTTCACACTACTGGGTGCTCTCTGCCTGCTTCTCCTTTGTCCTCTATTTTCTTCTTTTTAGGTTTCACCCTTTATTTTTCTACTCGCAATGTTTTTATTGCAGCTCTTCCCTTCATTCCCTGACTGGAGAGGTGATCAAGGCATGCAGAAGCTACCGCTGCTGGTGTGAGTCCCCTGGAAGAGCAGAGGTGCCTGGGTCACTACTACACTGCCAGCTGAGCCTCAGGATGCAGCCATGAGCTTTTCTCCCAGTGATCTCCACCATGGAAACAGGGAGCTGCCTCATCTTTGACCAGGAGGGATTCAGCAATGTGTGGTTTTCTGTGTTTCCTCCGTTCTCTGCTTCGCTGGATTCTTCCCAACCTTCTCTGGGATCTTCGCAGAGGGATCAGACTGGAATAACGTTGGTTTGGTTCCCAGATATCTGGTATATACCCATTTCTATGAGCTGACTTTCAAAAAAAGTGTCCCAGGCGTAGAAGCTGACCTCTCCTCTCTGCCCTCGTGGTGATTCCCTGATGTTGGAGCTGATGAGTAGTGTACAACCCAGCTCTCCCTCCTCCTGCCCATCCTGGCTCTGCACTCTGGAGTTCCAGGTCCTTTCACGGAAATTACCATTTACTTGAAGAACTAAAATAAACAAAACCAAATAAATCTCCTAACAAAATAAGATCAATAAAAACATAGCCAAGTGCTTTGTTTTGCTTAGAAGATGCATCTTTGTGCATATCCACTTGTGTGTTGCCAAGTTTTGGAAATCAGCAAAGACTGACATTGTTTACTGCAAATTAAAGACCCTCTGGAGACGCTCTGTCTTGCTTTCCAGTATAGCCTCGGGCTGGGGGAGGGAGGCAGTTGGACAGTAGCATAGAAGAAACCCTGTTCCAGTGTTGCTAACTATAGCATTAATTTCAGAGTCATAAATAACTTCAGTACCATGGTTACAGCACTAGCCAAGTATGATATCATTTAGTTTGGGATTAGGGAAAAATATCTTCCTTGAGGCTGTGGGTTCTAAAATAAGCAACTTTTCCAGAATGGGTTTTCTCCCAAAGACTACACAGAGAAACTCCAGCCTGGAGCTGTAAATTGGAAGGATTACTTTGCTAAAACTGACTGGATGAGAAGTGTCAGCAGGTAAAACAGCTCAGAGGATAGATTCTTCTAAGTTCCTCAGTGAATGACAGCCTGGCACTGTGTTGGTTTTCTTAGAAAACAGCACCTTCTGTGAATGAGAACAAGCATAGTCTTTTCCAGCCTGAGCTGCGTATTATGGAGAAATTCAGAGGGTAGGATCTTTCAGAAATCAGACGCCACTAATGACCATTAGAAAGATGGATGGAGAGGTCGGTGCTGACAGTTCCCATGGCTGCATGGGCAACAGTATAGTAACCACGCAGGCAAATGACAGCCAGTGTCCATCCATTGGGCCAGTCGAACAAACAACTCTGATACAAAATCTACACACAATTATATGCACATACAACTCTGCAGAACCTTGGGAGCAACAGTGAAAGGCTGATCCTGACTGTTACGTACAGCACAGCGCTATCATGGACTACAACAAAAAACTCCAATGGGACAAGAGGCATACAGTACAGCACTATAATACAACAAAAAACTCCAATGGGACAAGAGGCTCATGTTTGGAGGCATCACCAGAGAAAATTTTATGGAGAAACAAACACTTGAAACACTGCAAAAATGGTCACGGGTTGGTGCTACAGGAAATCTGGCTCTAGGGCTCCTAGATACAAAATGCTAGACCACACAACCCAAAGCACTGATCCCATTCAAAATTGTTCAAAAAGTTATGACATGAAGTCTGTATTGGTAGGCTTTATGCCAGATTAGATATTGTCTTTCTTCCTGCTCCCGGCATAAAGCCAGCATAAATGCCGTATTATGTGCTCTGGCTAATTCAACAGAAACCTAATTGTGTGCCCAGGCATGATCTGGATTGAATTTGTCCTGCTAAATGATCCAGTAGGGCTCAAACCTGGTATAAAGGGCCATAGAATTGTGGTACAAACTTTCATTTCAGATTTCATGTCTTCTCTAATGCAAGGCAAGGGAATTTTGCCACATGCAAACATCTATGATAATTGTTGAAACGCCTTCCCTCAACTTAATCCATTTCACAGCACAGATTAGAGGGTGCCCCCCGTGAAAAGCAGTGGAGAAACTTAAACACGTGGAGGAAAAAGAAATGTATTTTTTTATTTCCGCTCTTCCTGGTTCTAATCATAGAGAGAACATCTGAAAAGTGGCATTTTGGGATAGGCTGAACAAGTCTGATGAGCCGTGTTCATTAGCCATGCCCCTCACTGCTACAGCCTGGTCCCTGCTGAGAGATCCTCTGGTGGTGAACTTACCCCTGCCTCCTGACAGCAGAGTCGCAGCTTCCGAGGTGACTGTGGGCTTCTGTAGCTCGGAGCAGCCTCAAGATCCTGGCCTCCCTCTTTTCTCTTTGTCTACGCTTGGCTTGGCTTCTCTGAAGTAAACTGTTATCCATCACGAAGACGTGGGAGGCCAGCATGGTTTTCATATTCTCAGCATGGGCTCAGCAAATAGCAGATACCTGGCCCTCTCTCGGGCTGTGTTAAACGGAGGGATGCTTTTGGTTTGGGAACAGTCCTCTGTGCGTGTGAATCTCTCTCTCTTGAAGCCATCTTTATTTCAGCTGAGAATTGCAAAGCAACCTAAAAGGTTAAAAAAGGAGAAAGAAGACAGGAGAAATACATTTGTATATGAAGACAGAGGTTTCTTGAGTTACCTGGTATAATTTACAGGAAAAATTATAAAGGTCATCTCGCCAAGTGGCTAGAAAAGATCTCACTGACATTAGTAGTAATTTATGGTACTAGTATTTTCTTTATTATGGCCAGTAAATGAAAGTATTGCTTTCAGGCTTAGAACATACACAGCTAGCTGGCCTGTCCTTTAGCTCTAGCAAGCTCAAATCTTTCTGATTTCTCATACTATGCCTGTTTTCTCCAAATTGATTGCAGGACATCTGTTCACTGTGTAATAATACAGGACCCTGACCTAATACTGGGATTTCTACCACTGCAAAGGGCACCGCGACCCAGTCTTATTTTATCGAGGTTATTCAGAGCTTCACTGCTTTGTTCAAATCCTCTGCTGCCAGGGAAAAGAGTCAGGTCTGGTCCACTCGAGAGCTTTTGCAGGTAGTTGAGCTGCAATATGCCAAGCAGCCTGGTCTGTATTTGGGATGGGGCCTGGATAGTCCGAGGAGCCCTCTCTCCTGTCAGAAGAAACCATCTGCCAGAGCTGTGCGTGCATCTCTGCTTGGAAGCTACTGGAAGCTGTTCTCAAGTGTAGTTTAGAAATATGCAGACAATTACATATCACTGCTGTTGCACTATTACTGCCAACTGCGGGGTCAGGTTGTCCCCTTTGTTTTCCAGTAATTACTATTTTTAGTTCAGGTTTCATTCGAGTGTAATGTTTTTAGATGAGCCCAAAGGTCCTCTGGCTGTGCTCTGCACAGCTTCAGAGCAGACAGATGGGGCATTACAGACACAGTGTACTCAGTCCCTGCCACTTCAGGAGATTCAAAGTCCAATTCATTTGAGTAAAGAACCGTGTTTTCAAGGTCTGAGAAAAGCCGTCTCTGGGTGGAAGCAGAACACCTGCAGCAGAAACACAACTTAACAGGGGATAATTGCACCAATAATATCACCTGCACAGTTAAAACAGGCAGATTGCAAATGTTCAGGGATCGCAGGGAAAATCTGCCACGGCTTGTGTTTTGTTTCAGTAGCTGGGGCCATGTCAGCTTGTCAAGAGCATCTTGAGAGATTCATGGCCCTCCTCAATCCCAAGGCAATCTGTGACCTAAACCAACCCAAAATCTAGGAAAGGAACCAGGTGGCCAGTCACTGGCTGGAGTAAATCAGCCCAGCTCCAGTGAGGAGCTGGAGCAGCCCCAGTTCACATCAGCGTGGAAGCTGGGCCAGGCAGCATTCCTGGAACTGCAGTTCAATCTCAGTCCAAACGCCGAGGTCACCAGTGGCCACCCCAGCTGCGGCGTGAGCCGAGGGCATGAGTCAAAGCCACAAAAGGCTGCCACGACCTTGCCAAGTATAAAAAGAGCAAATATGCTAAACACCGCCTTGCGTGCGCTCATTGCTTCTGGCTGAAAGCGATGGAGAAGGTACAAGCCACTGGACATCAAATCATTGGGCAATCAAGAAATCCTAATACATCTGTTGTTCAAAAAGCACCATATACATTCTAACCTTCCACATACATTGACCAGCTGATCCTTGTAAGAGGCCTGGGAAGATCCCGAGAGGAACAATCCTAATTTTACTGGGGCCACAAAGAGTAATTAGCTGACTAAAGTTTGCAAACATTGGCATCCATATTAAAAGTGGGACTTGGTGAGTTCTTACACTCCTCACTTGCTGCTGCTGTAATATGGGAAGCACTGTCCAGAATCCCAACGTTGAGAAACCACAGCTCTTGAATAAAGGCCGGCCACACAAAACACAGGGGTCTCACGTTTAAGATGTCATCACAACAGAGAAGCCCAGCCAGGCAGGGGCAGGTCAACAATTTCCGAAAACAGTCTGTGTAAAACAGAAACTACTGTTGAATTTAGGTTGTTGCCACCGAAACGGGTTTCTTGGAGTCATACCAGTATTGTAGAATAAAACCTGAAGACTAGCTCCTGGTTTCAGCCCTAGGTGTAAAACCTAGCTGACTGCAGATCAACACAAGGCAGCTAATGGCTGCAGGTGAAAATTAGACTAAAGGTGGATTAAACACAGATATTATGGCTGAAATGTGGCAAAATAACTTCCGGAGCTGAAAGACCTGCAGAGGAGTCCAAACCCATGGACGAATGATAAGAGCCAAGATGATTGTTTTTCACCAAGCCGTGTGAACCAAACCTGCCAAGTTTCACACGAAGGGCAGCCCGAGGCTTACTGGTTTAGTTCTCAGAAACTGGAATTTGTGCATAAATATGTGACAGCCTGTGGTAACCAGAAACTATTCTTATCACAGGAAATGCTGTTGGTCAGGAGCAACAAATGTGTTTGGTGCACACAGGGGTAACAAGCCTTCGGCTTTGCCTATGCTACACACATCCTCGGGCTTATTTAATTGACAAGGTTCTTAATAACAAAAGAGATGGAGTAAATTGGTTTGACTCTAAGCAGACAAGCCAACAAGGCACGGAGAGTGACATGTTCAGAGCAGAGGGATATGGTGGAGTCTCAGCAGTCTGCCTTTGCCTCCACTGGCTTCTCCTTAGATTGATTTGTACTCAGATGAACATGCCTAGCAGGAAGGTAAATTGATTTAATTTACATATTAATACAAAAGAAGAACGTTTAGGGTGTTTGGAAGGTTTATAACACACAATAGAAGGTGGGTGGCAGTTTTAGTGAGACTAAAAGAATCTAATTGAGTGTAAAGGAGGTTAAATTTCTGCCAAAGCTCAGTTTCAGGAGCTGCCAGAAGATGCCAACTTCCCTTAATTTAGGATCCATCAAAGTAGTGTTGGAGTTTGGACTCAAGCATTGAGTAAGCAGCTTTACGTGCCTGTGGGAGGGAGCGATACCCTAACAATAGTAGGAATGGTGCACGGTGCGTGCAAATTACTCTGCTCTTCGCAGTGGATTTTGGATGAGGATGGAAAGGAAATTAATTTTGTTTTGAAATAAAGCCCAAGATGCTTGTAGTTATTAAGATCAGTAAGTGATTTTAGTGAAAAATTAGCTCTTGTGTATGCAGTAAAAACTTTGCTGTGCTGTACCGCAGAAAATGTATTTTCTAACAGAAATAGTGAATTTTGGGGTTTCTATGTTAACAATAATGGTACTAAAAAAAACAACAAAGCAACAAAACAAACCAACAAAAAGCCAGGAAAAGGATTTTGACTGTAGAGAGAAATACTCTGAATTCCAGAGAAAGAAAAAACAGAAGGAAAAAAAAAGAAAAAAACAACCAAAGGAAAAAGAAAACCTGTTAGAAAAAAATTGCCTTAAAGAGGGGTTTTGTAAGTGAATTTAAAATAAAAGCTGCTAAAGACAGAAAATGGCTTTCTATAAATGAGGAATCCTTTCATTTTTACTGCTCTTACAAAACAATGCAGGAAATCACACAGGATGCTGCTGACAAGAAGGAGGAAGTGGTTTCAAGGATGACATTGGACTCTGCGAGCGGGATGCCAGACGTATCGAAGGGAACCTCTTTCTCCCGGTTTTAATGCCCCATGAACCCGTTCTGTTTCCTCTGCTGCAGGAGGAGCAGCATCACAGGCTGCCACGAAGGACCTGGGGGAGTCTGTTTGAAGCCTCTGGTGGTCATGACTAGATGGGGCCAAACTGTAATCTCTTGCTTCAGGGTGGTGGTGTTACAAAACCCGTTCAGGAACTGAAACTTTTGAAGTCTTACCGAGCTGTTGGGTGAAGGCCTCCACCTACAGGGACTCCTGTTTGCCCCACAAAACATCACGGGGGGAGGAGGTGAGGCATGAGAAGCCCTTATTACAGAAACAGGGCAAAGCACCTGAATTTCTGCAGAACTCAAGGCTGCCTTTGCCATTTTGAAGCGGTTACGGTAAACAAGATAATCCATGTTTATTGAGGCCCTTGGTGGTGTGTTGTTTTCCTTCTCGCTCTTGATGTGGTGGGGAGGTTCAAAGGCACCAGCACACCACCTCTTCACCTCCAGAGGAGCTGCAGGAGGCGGTTTCTAAGAAGGCTGCATGTGCACAGCCGTGCGTGATCGGCGTGATAGCGACGGACCGCGAATGCAAACAGTTTCAGTTCTACCTAACCATTCGCTGGAGTTTTGAATACACTTAAAAATAACTGCACGCACGAACAAGGCGTATGGATGCACCTACAGAACTTGTGTACACATTTGTGTGTGTGTATATACACATATATATATATTTAGCATACTTTCAGTGAAGGTGCCTGTGTATTTCTGCATGGAGTCTATGTCCGTGCTTCTTTTACTGTATAGGAAATTAGATTATTTTCAGCTAATCTATAGCTTTTAAGGAGTTAAGTTAGGTCGATGGTTGGACTAGATGATCTTAAAGGTCCCTTCCAACCTAGACAATTCTCTAAGTTCAGTAGCTACACAAAGCCAAAAAAATCTTGAACTTCTATCAGTGCCCTTAAACAAATCCAAACTCAGAGTAAAATAGTTATTCATAAGGCTCCCTCATAAACGGTTGATTAAAATGTTCTATTGCTGAGCCTGTAACAAAACGCAGGCTTTCACCTCTGTGCTATTTGTTCCTCACAAACAGAAATTCAGGAGACTGACTCCACAGGAGTTAATTTAATCAGAGCCAGTGCAGATCTAGCAGCCTGTTCGTGTGTCTTAACTCTCCAAACAGAGCAATGCATCAGTGTTGTCAACTCCTGCTACAAAACTGACTGACATTTTCCTGCCAAGCAGCACCTCAGCATCAGAGGGATGAGTCTCAGAGGGGAAAATCCCTGCTCAGCTGTGTGGCTCAAAAGATCCCTTGCTTCAGCAGCATCTGCCCTACCTGTCCCCATGCACGTGAAACGTGCTGTGAGCCTCTGTCTTCCATGCAAAACATGGCTTTATGTCCTGACTTCTGCAGTGAAGCAGGAAACAGCTTTTTCATCACTAAGAAAATATTACAGACAGGACAAATAGGAATAAATATAGTCACGTTTTAAATGTGCAGTTTATAAAATGCAACTCGGTTTCAAATCTGCTGAAAAAAAATTTACCTTTGCCTAATAAGCAAGGTCCACCTGCAGTTTGTTTTTTTTAGTTTCAAGGTTTCTCTTTGCTGATGGAAGTGGCCTTCATGTGGGTTAAAGCTGTGTAAATGGTTTCACGTTGAGGTTTAGCGCTTATGCAGTTTATCAAGAGGAGGTCAGCCCCTGGTATTCATGTGGTCCAAGGTAAAACAACATTGGTTTTCAGCACGGTAGAAATGAGATAAATGAGGTCCTTGTTCTACACCACTCTAAAAGTTATCAAAGAGCTTTAGAGCAGGAAGACCTGGGGCAAAGTTATTCCCTTAGATGCCTTTCCTGGGCTAGATCTATTCCCTGGGCAGAAGAGCAGAGAGCAAGGCTTACTTCTGCACTCCCAGATGGAAAACACTTTTGCAAATGAAGGAAAGGTGGATTTATCCCCAAACGCTGCATCACATTTCCTAGGGCAGTGCAAAATACCTCCCAAGACAGTCTGGATTGCTGCTGCTTCAGCGTGGATGTGGCCACACAAGCTCAATCTGAGCAGTGTGAGCATCGTGGCTGCCTTGGCTCCCACAGCTGGCTTTCTAGCCCAGGAAGTCTTGGGGTGAAAACTTCTTGGGGGCACCCTGTGAGGCCCTGGGTATTGTCTGGGTGGGTGGAGGCCTCGTGGCCTCACAATCTGGCCCCGCACGAGGCCTGATTTTTCAGAGGAGCTCAGCTGCCATCTGCACGCTCGCTTTAGCAGCCACGCTTTGGAAACAGCGTCCATCTTCAGAGATTGAACTGTCGAAAATCTGGTCAGTTGTGTAACAAAAGGAGCTGCCACACACTAATTCATAGTCATTTGATCTCTAAGAAAAGCCACTTAGCAGATCTGGACAAGGGCTGACGCTGATAAGGAAAGAACTCATTAAATTGATAGAATTAGAGATTCTCCCCGGTCTGTCATTTGCCACCTGCCACTCACCCTGTTGTCTCTGCAACTCAGAACGGTAGGTTTTGGGAGCAGAGATTGTGTCTTCCTACATCTTCTTCTTAAGGTTCTTTTAACACTACGTAATTACCAATAATACAAAGGGAATAAGGTATGAGACGAGAACTGCAGATATCCAGTTTTTGTGATGTTGCTCTTGACAGCAAAAAGCCCCTTCTATTTTGAGAATCCTTTATAGGAAGTACATCTCCTAAATAAAACATGATACGACTCAAAAAAACCAAAACCCCAACCAAAAACCCAGCAAACAAAGCAAAGCTCTCTAGAAAGCCTCTGTAACTAACACATTGCTGGAGCCAACCACAGGCAACTGTTGACTCAGACGATGCTCACTCTTCTTGAGAACAACCCCAAGAGCAGGCATTTGGTTTCAACCACCACAAGTCCAGTTTCTCATGGACACTGGAGAAACAGGCCTGAAATACAGATACATTTTTAAAATTATCTTTTTTCCACAGCAGGGCACGGGAGAAATCACAGATTGAGCAACACAGCCTGGTTCGAAATCGTTGGGGAATTACCTTTTGAATCCTGACACCCCCATGGTTCAGTGTCCTGTGAAAGAGCATCACAGAGACATCTCCCTGCTGCCAGCGTTGGGCTGAAACACTGCAAAACTGTCGCCCAGCATTATGCAGACAATACATTTATGTAAAAACAGACCAAAAGGAAGCTCCTTTTTGGGGACGGGACCTGTTGCCCTGTTAGGAACGTATCTGGACACCCCTCCTCACCACACCTACGCACTCTAGGGTGGCAGCTCTTGCTGAGACCCGTGTCAGCCAACGTGGTGTGGCCTGTTGTGGCTTCACACACCCTGCCTTCCCCACACACAGATTTGGGGTTTCCTTTGAGGTCTAAACACTGCAGCAGCCCTAGCACCTTCCTGGCTAGTGCACCACGGTGCTCAGCAGCACGGGGCCCAGCAGCCTCTAGACACAAAACGATTATTTTCTGTCAGGGTTTTCCCTCCTCTCCCCTTTTCACTCCCTCCTCCTCATCCCATCGCTTCAGGGCAGTGCAAAGAGGCCTAAGGCCTCGGGGGCGGCAGCCCGGTGGGCCGGACCGGCTCTAGCGCCCCTCACCGTGGCCTCTGTCCCGCCGGCCGGTCCCCTAAGGCCGTTTCGGGGTGTCGGTGTCCCCCCACCATCGTCCCCGACGGCCGCTCTTACCCGTCCCCCTTCCCGCCTGCGCCACCGACCGCGGCCCGCGCCCGCCGCCTGTGTACGGCCGTTGCCATGGCTACGGCGCTGCCGGGCAACGCGGTCACGTGACAGCCGGAGGGAGCGTGACGCCGCCGGGCCGAGGGGGCGTGGCCGAGGGGGCGTGGTCACACGAAAGGGGCGTGGCTGAGTGTCAGGGGGCGTGGCCCGGCGTTGCTAAGGGGGCGGTTGCTAAGGGGCACGGGGGGAAATGGCGGCGGGTGGCGCGGCAAGGCCTGGACTGGGCTCACCTGGCCCTCCATGGCACCTGCTCCACCGGCCTACTGCAAAACCCTTCCAGACTTGTCCCTTGAGCTCCCCTGGAGCCTTTATCATCATCCTGATAATAATAATGAACGTTTTGGGTGTGGGCATGGCAGGCTGGCCCTCAGTGCTGTGCAGGCCTCAGCGCGGTGGCCCTGCTCTTGTCAGGCCTAACTTGGCACTTCGCGGCTATATATGCAATATGGCAATATGAAATATTATTTCATAATTAACATTATTTTCATGGGTGAACTCATTTGAATTTTTCTCGTCTATCACTCTCTCCGCTGCCTTCTCATTGCCAGCAGAGATACCAGCCACTTTGTATGATTGAATTTACTGCATACTGGAATTTTTTAGGCTTCCACCAGCAGCTCCCGCTTGCAGGCCTGGGCTGGATTTATTATTTTTGACTCTCTGCTCCATGTCCCAGCTGTGGGATACCTTTGTTTAGAGGCTCTGGAGCAGGGCGTCTCTGTCAGGCAGCCTTTGTGCCCCTTTAGGCATCTTGTTTTTCTGTTGCATGTAATAGTTGGAAGCAAATGGCTTGTCTAGGACAAGAATTAAGTTTTTTTAATGTTAGTTAAGTGTTCTTGTGTATTAGGAAAAGGCATACAGTGAAATCTCAGTAAACGGGTACTGAAGCACACTGCTTCATATGCCTGGGTTTTTTTAATTTATTATGAAGACAAATACTTTCAGGAACTCCATTTTGATTTCCCGGCTTCTTTCATTTCTTTTGGCTCAGCATCGTCAGCCAAATGGGTATAATAAAACCATGGAAGAAAGCAAATGTACAACAACCCGTTTTACCTGAGCAGATGTAAAATTGCACTCATTAAAGAAACACATTTAGGCATAAAATGCAGCTCGAAAAAACTCTTTTAAGAGCTTCCACTAGGGAAAAAAGATTGCTTTGACCTTCAGAGATTGACGCAATGTGCAATGTTTATTAATAGTTTTAGCAAGAAAGTATCTATATGGGGGGGTGTCTTGCCTTTTATTTGGCTGATTTTAAGAGTGCCCTTGCCATTTCCTAACTTCCCTGCTGAATAGGGTTGATGACTCCCCTACTTTTAGGTTAATGACTTGGCCACTGGCTTCTACTCACGTCCATCAGAAGATTTCTCTGCGCCTCTCATGAGGAGAGCAGCACCGTAAATGCTGCAAAACCCTGGGCTTTATCCCATCCAACGCCTTTCCGCAACGGGGAGGCGGCTGCGAGGATCTCGGTAGCGGTTCCGTGCCTGAGAAATGCTCTCTGAAGCTTAAGGGATTTGCTTGCACTGGGATTTGCTCAAGTTACCAAAGAAAATTGGGACCCCATGGGAAAACAGGGTGCTGTGGGGACCCCGCTGGGAGCCTGAGGTTGATTGAATCCCAGGGAAGAGTTTGACCCCCAGATCCTGCTCCCAACCCTAAATATCCATTAATCCACTGGCAGGGTTTTTCATGCTTCCAAGCATTGAATTTTAATGCTGCCGAGACGGAGATGAGTTAAGAACTGGCAGCACTTGTGCTGTGTGTGACGGGGCAGAGAAGTGCCAGGCGTGTCACAGCCACTCCTTACAGTGACGATGAGCTGCCTGCGCTGTGTTGTGGCGGGTTTAATGGCTGTCTGTCACACGCAGGAAACAAAAACACAGCCTGACGTTGTTGGAGAACACGCCATGGAAATTCTGCTGTGAAACGTGTTTCCTGGCAGGGGTCTTTCTGAAGCGTCCCCTTGCTTCTCCTTGGGAGGTGCTTCCTGCCCTTCAGGAGGTTTTCTACAATCAAGATTTTCAAGACCTGCTTTCACGTCTTTGCTCACCATTTGTCATGGGTGTAAATACTCATCCCAAGGGTCTTCCTTTGAACACCACAGCTCCAAACCATCATCAGCAACTCAAGCCCATCTCTTTGCCGTGGATGTAACTTCCAAGTGTCAGAGTTGCTCCATCTAAAGCAAAGATTATCTGAACTTTACCATGCCACCCATTTCTTTTTATTGACAAGACTCAGCATAACCAGGCCGTGAGGAGTAAAAATGGCAGAAGAATGTGACTCTCGGGTCTTAACACTGGGATTTAGCAAAGGCAGGGCCTGGGAAGGGTTTATGGTGACACTTTTTGCTGGCACTCGGAGAAGGGATTTGGTTTTCCCCATCCCCGGCAGCCTCTCCTCCAGCCCAGGCCAGCCTGCCAGCAGAGGGAGTGCAGCACATGGGCTCACAAAAATAAAGAGCTTGCTTAAAAAAAACCAACCCAAACAAACCCAAACAATTAGCAGAATGATTATGGTCTTTAGCAGAATAAACAGAATAGTCAGAAGTCGGAAGCCTTTCCCCCAGCAATGAGATCCAGCTGCAGGCTGGATGGGGAACAGGCACTACATCTGGCAGCGATTGGGTTCCTCTGGTGGGGAAGTCCCCATGGTGAGATTGTCCCCGTGTATGGCACAGGACAGTGCCACTGCCAGGGATGGACCCTGTCCCTTTTTCCACCCTCCTTGATAGATGCACCTCTGTAGTTCCCCATCAGAGCGCAACAGTTTTAGATAAACCAGAATGGAGCTTCCTCTCCCGTGGTGCAGCACGAGATGGTGGGCAGGGGGATGGTCCCGGAGCTGCTGCGGTGTCGTGCTGGCTCCTGCTCTGGCCGTGCTTCACTTTTTGGCCAGAAGATGGGAAGTTTGGGGCTTGCCTGCGAGGAGGGCAGTTCCTGCAGAGAGCGGGCTGTGCTCAGCGTGGGAAGGTGGAAGTTAAGCCATCTGTCTTGAAGAGGATGGTAAATAAAGGCTAACGGGAACTTAAGGTCTCTCCTGGGACTTTATCGTCTGTGGTTGATGCTACGAATGGGCTTTTCCAAAGGCTTGGGCTGGTGATGCCCTTAAGAACCTGCCTTTCCTGCAGTGTCTCCCTCATCTCTGGGCGTGGGGGGTCTGGCAGAGCTGCTCTGGCTCAGGGAGCTGAGGGTCCCTCTCCAGACCATCCTGCTTCTCGCTCAGATGGAGCCCCCCTGGACCCAGCTGCAGCTGGAGGGCACCCCAGCAGTGCTTGGCCTCATTAACAGGCTGCTGGGCACTGCAGGAGCCCTGTGCTCCCCAGTTAAGTGTAGGGCAAGCAGAGGACGTAGGATGTGTCACTGAGAAATCACTGCTCAGCGATTTCTCCTGTATCCCTGCCAGCATCTGGGGCCTCTCCATCAAAGTTAATGCTTATGCAGTGTGTGAAAACAGCAGAAACTCCACGTTCAGACTGATCCCTCACCCAGAAGGAGGGGGAGGTTTGGTGGACTCACTTGAGCAGAGCTGTGATGGAGCCAGGATCAGAATCTGGCACCAAACGGCTTTTTCAGCAGGTTGATCATTAGGAGGAGCTCAGTGTGTGCAGGGTATTTCCATGAGAGCTCTACAGCCCTTAAAATCCAGCGCGCTGCTTTCTCTGTGGATTAAAAAACGTAGGATCCGGCCAAGCTTTGGTAGTTTAGTTTTTAACAGGGACTTAAGCATTTTAAATCCTTTCAAAGCTGTAAGTAAGAACCATAACTTAAACTCTCGCAGACAGATGTCATGGGAAAAATATGAGGACTATTTAAAAGGCAGCCTGCCTGCCTGTCCATCTATCTATCTATCTATCACCTTCTAATCTGCCTGACATGTGCAATCGCCTTTCTCTTTCAAAACATTCCAGGGCCAGGTCCACAGAGGCGCGTGTGGAGTGACCTGAGCTTCCCTTCCTGGGGTCCTGCGCACTCCAGGCCAGCTGATTCTTGTCCTTGCTTCTGAGGAGCTACATGGGCTTGCCACGAAGCAAACACCTGCAGTTTTGGTGGAGGAACTTCTCCGTCCAAGGCACTCTTCCCTCTGAAGTGAGTGGGAGAAGGGAAGACGTTTAACTTAACCACCGGGTAGAGTTTCTTCCCTCCTTGTCTGGGGGTGAGCGTGACATTTGCAGAAACTCAAGCGCCCTTTGGAAACAAGCGACACGGGATGATATTTTGCTTTTTTAGGTGACCAGATTGTATTTTGCCTTCCACCCTCCGCCCCCCGCGCCTAGTTGTAGAGAATTAAATGATGCTCAGCCAAGTAAATCTCTTACTTGGTCAAGCCTTTCCAGCTGTCCTTCTCTGGCCGGGGAAGGGTTGCCTTGTATGGGAGCCACGGCTTCCATAGAAACCCGCTCGCTCTGTTGCAGATGTTTTTGAGGGAAGCAGGAGGAATCAGCGGCTCGGGCTGAGACACACACACATCTAATTCTGGCATTACAGAGGAGGTCAAAGGCGAGGAACAGCACGGGAATGGCACATCTGACTTCTGAGGCTGGGTTTAATTGAGTGAAAAAAATGCAGTCCCGTTGCTTGTCCGAAAAAGTTTGGGAAAATGATTTTTAAGGGTATTTTGTGGATAAATGAACTGATCCTAATTCTGTCTTAAGAAAACCATCTTGGGACTGATTTCTGAAATGCCCTTGGTGTCAGTGGTGGTTTGAAAGAGAACCTGAGTTTATTTGGTGAATTTAACGAGGGGCAGAGGGGTCTGAGTGAGAAAGTTCATTGCAGAAATTCCCAAGGCTCCGAGATCTCAAACTGATGGGGCCAGAGGAGCATTTCCAGTAACTGGCCCACTGTCTTTCTGCAATGAGAGATGAAAGTGTCCTTTGCCTTTAGCTTATCAAAAAGGTTTGATTGTGGTGCCTGAAGAACCTGTCACAGGAGTCAGTAGCCGTGTGACATGGCAGAGTAGGGCTTAGGACAAACATCTGGATGCGAAATGCAGATGAGTTCACATT